TTTCTGCGGCTGAAATGCAAAGCACGGAGGATTATAAACGATTATTACCATACAAGATAGTCTTTGTAAAAGGCGTCTTTATGTGCTCCAAAAGTGATGTTAAACGTATACGATAACGAAGGGAGCTGATGAACGGTTCCAAAGTAATTTTCGACAACGTTAGAGCAGTTTTGGACAATCAGCTTTGCCTGAAATCTTGTCATAAAGAAATATAACATTAAAGTACAGCATCTTACAAGAACAGGGGGGCCATATGAAACCTGAGACAATGATAACGGATTGCGATTTGGAGACAGATACGACGCCGGTTTCCACGCGAAGTAGCCACTGCCATCGGACGCAGATTCAAGGTAATCGGTCTATAAAATACATTTCGTTCCACAACTGAACAGCAAAAGAAAACGCAATAATTAACCTGATAAAAATTATCAGCTAAAAACATTCCGAACACATTGGCTTAATTACAGAAATGCCATTTAAATGAAGAAAAGAGAACCGAACAATGTTGTTGGAATAAAATACCTCTTACATATCAAATCTGTGACATCTCGAATCACATTCACTTGTTCAGCTACGAACACGCCTGTTGCAATGCATAACGTTGCTGTCCCACCAAGTATGTGCTTTGTCAGTGCTGTTGCACAAAGCCGAGACCTGGAAATGACGTGAAAAAACCTCGTCCTCTCATTTACCCGCAGAGCTAGACGGGGATCCTGAACAACAGGTGGCAGCATTTCCTCTATGACCTGATCGAATAATCCGAATAAACTGGATTGCCCCTCATCATCAACAGAATCGACTGGCCACAAAGGTTCCTGCACATAGTCTCCTCACTGCAACTGTAAATATTCGCGAGGGAGTCCCCTGTCATCTACCTGATAGTAATTCAAGGCCAACCAGGGGGCATATGAAAAGCTGACAATTATCAGGAAACGTAATTCACTGGGGAAGCGGTCGCAATGCCGACATCGAGCTTTGTACCATGACGAGAAACTTCAATTGAACGATGAATGAAGCAACAGCATCAAATATCGAAGTTACACGCTTAAAAGTGGAAACGATGTGTGGCTGCGATTTTCATACTATAATGTTTAGCCTGCTTTGTCTTATTTTACTAACTGAAGATGCATAAAATGACTCGAAACTTCGGAAACTTGCTGCACAATAAAATTACAAAGCGACTTCGTCCCCAACGGTTTCTGTCGAGTTATACCACATCTGTTTTCTGTTAAAATAAATATGTGCGACTGGCAACCGTTACCACAAGGAAAATGCTGGATGCGAATTAGATGCCGCGAGTGCTCAGACTAACTCTCGTGAGTTCAAACGCCTGTCTGATACGTAAGTAAAGTTGTAAATCGAGACAAAATGTCCCGATCGAATTTACATATTTTATATACACAAGCAACTTACTATGCGCAGAATTCGCTATGAAAAACGCTAAAGATAAATACATTCATACGTAAAAAATTCCAGGTGAATTTTGATCATCGAAGTATACTCTGGTATCGATAGCAACGTGCGCAAAGTAGTGCTCGGTCGAAACAGCTGACAACTGCAAGGCATAACGAATGTGACTGTGGTTGAAAGAGACGAGCGACACGAACTGGATGTCCATTATGGCTGCGCTATCCGTGTGAGCTATACCAGGCGCCATGGTAACACCAGATGCCGTAAACGGATTTATCTGTAAACGTAAAAATTTATAGAAAAGATAAACTGGGCTAGCCATATGTCTATTACATATTGTTTGATGTAAACGGCGAAATACAAAACAATCGACTCCTTCAATGAGAAAGAACAGTAGAATATACTCAGAGATCTCACACAATACTTAATTCACTTTTACTTTCTTGATCAAAGATTCAAAGCAGGTAATGACCATTTTGACATTGATTTCTTAACAAATAAAAGTCGAACGCATTTTAAGCCGTCAACATGCAATTTCGAAGGGTAAGTGACCTAAATTATTCTACGCTGTTCATAACCTTTTATGACACGGTACAAAGCATGACTCTTTCGATTTGATTTCACAGACTATTGCACTGCCTTCTAGCTCTAAGCCGCTTAAATGGCCACGGATTAGGTACTTGCAGTACCAGAAGCACATGACATCATTTTAATCCACTAAAGACATCTCATGTTCATAACTAACGATGTTTCAGAAGCTGGTACTTTTTATATACTAAAACATTAAAAGTATGTTAATAACCAGTAGTCTCTTGAACAACGCATAATTCATCAAAAAATAGATGTCATGAAGTACTATATCCTTCATTCTAGGAGGAGTTAAGCCGCTATGTGACATTCTAGGTTAGGAAAATAATTCAACGTTTAAATAGTAACATAAAGAGTACCAGCTTCTGAAATATCGTGTTAATAAGCTCGAAGTATGCACATACGTATGCACTGCTGGAGCTAAGAAACAACATGTAGTCGTTGCGAGCTCAAACTGTCTCCAAGGCAAGCTTGACCATGGAAGGGATGCAATACGCCGTAAAATAAGGTTTTGCGTACAATCATGAGTCATGTGACATTTGACAGGTGCACGAACATACTTTCATTTTTATCTGGCAGTCGATACAACGTTTTGTTCTTTCATCACCGAGAAGTTTCGAAAGAAACAGGCAAAGTGGTTGGTAGAAGAATATCATTTTACCTGCCCTGCACCTTTCGTTACCTTCCTCAGCTATAAAAATCGATTAAAAAAGAATCTGATTTACGAAACGACTTGCCTATAAATTTTGTTATAAGTTATATAACAGCATTGTTCCAGCATTAATGCAGTTCACTTGGGGGAGCAGTATGGCAAAAGGAAGTCGAGTTAGACATTAGTCCTAATTTCTGCCAAGTTTCCTTTGTATGACTACGCTTGGAGAGCCTAAATACTTGCCGCATTTCCATATAAAATTTACAGTCACCAAAGCTACGTACTAAACCTACATTCGCAGCACTAAAATAACACTTTTAACGGCAGAACAGTGAAATAATAAACAGCTGAATGCTGAATCGCCATGGCCTAACGTGTGCTTAACAGCTGTAGAAAAAGATTGCATGGCGTACTGCATCGCCAACGGCAGATCTCCAGACAACCAAGCACTTACTACTACAATATACCGACCACATTCTACTATCGTAAAGAACTACCGCGGACACCAAGAACAGCAACTGAAAGGCGATACTGTACAACAGCTATTCGATATGCCATTCGAATTCATAAAAATAAGTCGTAAACCTTGGAATCTTTTCTGAGACTTTGACCCCTGCGGGTCTGATGGTCTACGAACCATCGGAGGTGATTCCGGACGACATCACTGCACTATTGGTTGTTATCTCCAGGGTACTGGTGGATAAGAACAACAGACAAATGGTCGGTAAACAACTACATTATGTCTTAAATCACTGCCAACCATCTTCTTGTGTTTCCATCCGTTTTCAGTACAAAGCTGAAGTTAAAACACTCATGAAATCATAAAAACTGAAAACGCAACATGGCGTAACGATGTTTTTCCTCAGTTTCTCATGAACATTGGTCTGAAAAAATAGACGCGGCTGACAGATGTCTGCAGCAAAATACATACCCTCAGGAAACTATCAAAATAATGGAAGAACTAGCCATCGCGTTTGTCAATTCGAGAAAAAATGACACTGCTCCTCAAAGCTACTAGTCAATGTCACTCCTTAGATTCTGCCATAAAGTGATCGAACGACTTTTGCTGCTGAGAACGACGCCTACCTTAGAACGTTTCATCCCTCAGAAATAGCCGGCCAATCAGAGCGATGCCATGTGACCATGCTGGCTATAACAACGAAAATCAAAACTGCGAAAGCTTCCACTGATGTCCCCTGCGTGACGGAAGACCGCGGTCAAACGACCTTTTACCGACTTACCGTCGAGATGTTGAATAATGCGAAATTAATCGTTTAATCAGATTAACTCAGCTAGCTGTACAAGGAGACTTAACAACGGCCTTCCTCGCGATTCGGTATTAGCTGTGGCTTTATCTCGAGGCAACATCATCCCGCAAATTCATCGACGACGCAGAAGATATCGCCCTCAGAACGCAGGAGTTCTCGCCGAAGGTCGCACAGAAGACCGTTCTACAGTATATATGTCCATGCACCTGTTCCCTCTTTTCACCTGAACAGCCGCGACGCGGAAGCTACGATCAACTTGAAGCTTTGCAATGTGCTCCTATCTAACGAACAGAAATCACGATATACAGAAGTCAAATTAGACCTGACTTTGAACTAACGGCAGCATGGACAGACAACGGACGAAAAAATGAAAACAAAAGTCAACGACGTCCAGAAGCTCGCTGGCAGATCACCGACATGCGGGCCTGTACAGTCGAATCATCAACACACGTTTTGATTTTGTCGACTACGTGTAGTGCAACAAATGCCATATCTACATTGAGATTAACAAAACCAATACCGCATTCCGCATGATCAGCGGACCCTCAAAACAACACTGATGAACATGGCACGAAAAGCCACACTTCGTGAACAGGAAAAGACCCCATCTAAGTCCCGATATGTCAATCCACTGGAAAATAAGCTCAGTGCCGCCTATGCGACTGAACTCAATAATACCTTTTCTAGACCTACGGCTATTCGCCGGTGGCTTAGGGAAGAGCTCAAACACCCGCTGGGTTGAATCCTAAGTCGGTTGTGTCGTTTGTAGCAAAAACCTAAAATATTACACCAGGGAAGCTCCAGACTTATGTCTATCTTGACGACAGTTGAGCGCGTTCGAATATGTTGGTATATGTACTACGCATGGTAGGCGGGGATACTTCTTACATCAACAGAAAATCAAAGAATCGCCATTTTGTGCGTGTAGCGACGTGCATGCAATGGAGCAACATGGACCATTATCAAATTTATTGAATCGAACATGTATCATGATCCCTGAACCTGAACAGAGAATAAAATTTATTATATTGTACTTTGCTGTTCACTGCATCTGAAGGTTTTGATACTGTACAGAATTGAACAGGTTTTCATAATTTCAAAATGCAGATATGAAGAATGAATACTTCGTTCTGGCGTTGATGCTCATATCGAAAACAACATAAAACGAGGTTCAGTAACACACAACGCAAAACAATTGGTTCAGTCCGACTGTTGAGCAATAAGGACGCTTCGGCCCGTGTCTCGAGAACCTTCTTTAAGATAGGAGGTTCCTGAAGTTTGGGCGGGTATTTCTCGTTGTCCGCATGGAGACAGATGCCAAACTTTTGATGCGTGTTGGTGGTCACATATTTTCTTGGCGACGGGTTCAATATGGCTCATTCGAACCGCGTAGAGATCGCATCCTTTCTCGCAGTTGCCACTGTCCATTAAGACTGAATGCTTAATGTGTCCTTTACGCGCTTGTTCAGCCATCGTCATTCTGTGACGATATCGGTGCACTCTGGCCATCTGAGGAGCGGCAACTAGGTCAGATACTGCATTCAGAAGT